ACAATAGACGATAATTTCTCTGTGAACAAAATAAGACATCACCACAGACATTCTGTCGGTCCGATATGCTGCTAAAGTTATAAAGGAATCCATCAAAGTAAGTCATTTACTCCGTGTATCACCGATTCCAAAAATAAAGAAAAACATTAAAGCGCAGTGTTCGCTCAACGAACATACCCGTCAGATTTAGTCTAACAAAAACCTAAGTGTGACCCACCTTACACTATAAAATATGCAAGAAACAGAAAATTACAGAAAAATATTTGCAAAATACAACAGGGCTCATAGCTTAAAGTATATTCTAAAGAATGTAGCGATAATGAAGATTCAGACCACCTCAACCAAAGATTGTGAGTCCGTTTGCAGCGCGCCAAATCTAAACGTCGCACCAAATTATTATGGAAAGACGTTTTTCACAATCTTTGAAACGTACCATAGTAAAAGCTTCAACCAAAATAAATTTACCTCCTCACATATTCGTACCGACAGTCATACTTCCATCTTACAAACTAAAAGAAAAACAGTGTCAAGTGCTGCTAATACAGAGCAACATCATTCTTCTTTGTCCTTGAAGCCACTTGTGCGTGGTATACATTTTCCCAAGTTATGGGAAGGAGCACTCAACAATATACACTAATTAGCTTTCACAATGAGTTTGTTTCAACACTAAAACGAAACGTAACAGAATATGCAGCGCAGATATCTGTCTCACTAGATTTTCAAATGTATCACATTTCGGTTTCCACCCGGAATTAATGCTTGGCAACGTCATTGCCGTAAGGAACGGAGAACAGAGACACTAACCTCTATCCTACATGAAAAAACAGAAAATAAAAACCACTAACCGCAGTTGTGCTGTAATAACTTGAAATATGAAGAAGGAAGCACTAGTTTTGCGTAGAAATCCCTTTTGTTTTTTAGCAAAACAGCTATTTTGATTAGAATAGTTATTAGAGATAGTGTACGTGGGAAGAATGCGAGAAAATATTTTCGCTTACAGTAGTTCAGAGAAAATTAACTTCGATTTGGGTCCTTCCAGAAAAAAAATGTGATCTTATTTAGCACAGTCCGTTTAACGGCAGAGGTGGTTGCGTTTTGGGAAGGTCCCATCACGCTAACCCCTCAAGTTTGTTCATTTCGATCTTCTTTTCCAAAAATACACTACCCTACGTAGAGATTATCTGTCTTTGAACAGTGCAAAAGCGGGATTCTGATATGTCGATGAGGTAGGGCCAACCTAAAACTGAAGCAGCTGTGTGTGAGTGTGCTGACCATAAGGCTTCGAGAGACTCGCTTGTTGTCCATTCTGGCACCCGACACCATCCCTTCCCCAGAGTCCTTTTCACTACTAATTGGTCTGTGTACGCGTGCGTTGAACGGCCCCATTCGAGCCGCCACGATGGCCGCCACAGCTGGCTCCCGAGAGTCGCCTCTCCTAACGCTAGAGCCTCTAAGTCGACTGGGCGGTACGCAGGCCTGCTGCAGGGCGCCAGTCGGTGGACTTGAAAGGGAAATCATAGGGTTTCTACCTCGAGGGAAACAGCCGAACCCACGCGGGTCGCGGGTCGGGCTGCCTCCCCGAGGGGCGGCTGGCGATTAATGGTTAATGGTTATTTGTAGTGTGTCGTCGCCCCGACACTCGCTATTCGCACGACGCGGCGCTCGGGGCAAGTGTTTTGCAAAAGCGGCGGATACGCGTGGTACAGTCCACGTCAACATTTACAAAGGTACACATTGTTCGGCGGCGTGCGAAGCGGGCGGCGGCGCGGACCGCAGGGGGGCTGTACATAAATTGCGTCATTTTTAGAGCATGCGGCACACTTTTCGCGCCATTCTAATTGAGTTGAAGGTTCATTCACATAAGAGTATCCGACGCTTTCAGATAGAAGCCCGATCTGGATAAATTCGAATCATCGAGGGGAACGTCTATCACGGCTTTCCCTCCCACCAAAACGCCTCTGTTGTCAACCCTGAGCTCAACTAAAGTGCCTTGAAAAGGGTACCCCACCATTTAGAAATAAAGTAATCTGTGTGCGCCCCCCGGATTCGAGCGTCTTCCGTCCGTCTGCGTCGCGGCGCCGACGGCGGGGCGTGGTGGAGGCGCCGCGACGCACAAGGCCGGGGCGCCGGCGGGTCCCGGGGCTGACGGCGAAGCCTGCGCCTCACGCCTTGCGCTCCTCGTGGGCCTTCTTGACGATGGCCAGCTTGGAGTGCGGGTCCGAGACGGGCAGGCCGACGTAGGGTGGGTCCCGGGTGCCGTGCAGCATCAGCGTCCACTCCCGGATGAAGCCGGCCTGCGGCTTCTGCGAGTTGAAGCTCACCTAAAGGAGAGAGAGACGCATATTGACCGACGCCGCAAAAAATTAAATAGGTTGTCGCAAATTTACAACACATTTTTTAAAATAAAAATTACAAAATATGTTGTAGATTTACGAGGATATTAAATGTCGTTGCTCACCTCGAGCAGCCACGTGCCGTGGGGGTACTCGCCCCACGTGTGCGTCGTCATGAAGGGCCACTTGGTGAAGCCGTCCCGGTGGTCGTCGTCGTTGACGCGCTTGCTGAGGATCATGGAGCGCGTGCCCATGGGCGAGGTGAGGAAGAGCTCCACGTCGCCGCGGCGGGTCGCGTTGAGCGAGATGACGGCCTGCACGTGCTCCAGGTATCGCACCTCCGTGTCGGAGCCGGCGCACGCGTTCGTGTTGATCTTGAGCAGCACGGACCGGTCGCTAGGGATTTCCCTGTGGGAAAAGAAAATGGTATTTTTTAGTAATTTGGTTTAAACAAATGATTTTTT